CCCTATGTCCCTCACCCTTCCCCATGCCTCTATAGCTTCCCTATGTCCCTCACCCTTCCCCATGCCTCTATAGCTTCCCTATGTCCCTCCCCCTTCCCCATGCCTCTATAGCTTCCCTATGTCCCTCCCCCTTCCCCATGCCTCTATAGCTTCCCTATGTTCGTTCACCCTTTTTGTTTTTCTTCCTTGTGAATACTTGCATCTGTGATCATAACCAGTCACTATCCTGGTCCTCCCGGAAGAAATCAAATAAAGATTGACGTGCATTCTCTCTCACTCACCTCCTATGGCATCAATTTCGTCAAAGAACACGATGCAGGCCTTCTTTCCACGGGCCATCTCAAACAGCTCCCGGACCATCCTTGCTCCCTGCAAGACGTAAACACACAGACACTCACCCACAGACCAAAACAATCTTACCATTACAGCTACAGACTGGCTGGTAAGAACTTACTGTATAGTTTTAGCATCTGAATGAGAGCGTGTAAGCACTTGAAACTGGTGCTTCCCTACACGGAAGATGGCAGGCAAGCATGGAAACAATGCACATGAGTGTGGGTAGCCAGGGCAACATGGCACAAAAGAGAGTCGATTGCCTTGGTGTTGCAGTAAAGAGGAGAGTGTGAGTCCACGTTAACACAATGCCGAGGCGCGAGCGTAGAAACGAAGAACACACTACGGAGAATAGGTCATAATGTAACTACACGTTTACTAGTGTTGTCAATCGGTTGTAATTTTGTAATCGATCATCGGTTGGACCCAAGTAACCGATGATCGGTTACAATCGGTTACTCGGGGTGTTGAATGCCTGCGTGTGCGTAACGTCGTGTGCATGTACGTGTGTGCATGTATGTGCTTGTTTAGCCGTGTTTACTACTGTGTGTATAATACATGTATATGTTAATAAAGGATAACTTGTATAGTAGCGATGATATCTCTGATTCTCATCACTTTTTCGAAATTTTTTTTCCCGATTTTTTTCCCCCGATGAAATCGATTATGAATTTTGATAACCAAGCGCTTGGTTCGAGCCACTGTTCACCCGATGATCGAGTATAATCGATGATCGTGACATCACTAACGTTTACACAACACAATAATCTCACCTCTCCGACGTACTTCTGTACCAGCTCAGAACCGATGACTCTAATAAAGCAAGCGTCAGTTCTGTTGGCGACGGCACGAGCGCACAGTGTCTTGCCTGTACCGGGGGGCCCAAACAGCAGCACACCCTTCGGTGGTTCTATTCCGAGATTCACAAACCTTTCCGGCTGCAAGGCAAGTCCGTAATATCCGGATTTTTACTATTGCAGGCATAACACGAGCTATTCGCTGGGAACAGAAACATCGCGAGTGTACAGTAACTATTTTTTTGAAACTTTTCTGACGCTATCTGCTACACTAGTTACGATAAGTAACTCATCACTCACCTCGACTGCCATGAGGTTAGGCTTAAGGTGAAGATTAGGTTACTGGTATAGTTACATAAATCACTATTGCTAACTCTAACTTTACCCCAACTCGATTTCCGACTCTAACCTCAATTCAAACGTGAGTCATGTTTTTACCACCCTGGGCCACCGTTCTTGACCGAAAAGACAAAAGACAATTTTTCTATTGTGTAAATTCCTGCACCAGGCCAAGGAGGCAACCAGCACGCGGCGGCTACCTACATGCAACAGCGGCGTCTCGACAACTTCCCTCAGTTTGTCTATCTGCTCCTTGCAGCCACCAACATCGCTATATGTCACATCTGGTTTCTCTTCCACCTACGAAATTCAAAGCAAATGCATTAGCGGCAGCAGCGGGATTAACGAGCATAATCTTAATGATTAGTAATCCTTAATTTTCACGAATTAACAGGTTATCTAGAATACACTTCATTACTCTAACTGTGAGTTTAGTCTCATCCCACAATAGCTCTCCCATCACACACTTTCTTTGCAACACTCTCCAATGTTGGCCAACCTCACTACGTTCAACAATCTATAGCAGTGGTTCTTAACCTTTGATGAGTCATCGACCCTTTTGAGAATCTGGTGAAAGCTACGAACCCCTCCCCAGAAAAATGCACATAAGCACATAAACACAAAATTCTGCATGCACCTGGTTCACGGACCCCCTGAAGCCCATCCACGCATGGACCACACAGGTTAAGAACCCCTGATGTATAGAGACGGTCAGTTTACCTGCATCATAGTGACTGTGGGGTCAATCTTTGGGGGCAGTGGAATGTGGATCTGGTATTTATTTCTGTCAACACTGAAAAACATTGAAACGCTGTAAGTATGTGGAGTGAGCGATACACACGAATCTGCAGGTCTCATGTAGTTCTTACGATAATTATTCGTTTTGTAATCATTTTAGTACATACACACTTGGTTATAGGACCATATACCTTGCCCTACCCCACCCTCCCTCCAACCCTTTCTAATACTCACATTCTTATTCCAAATTATTCTACAAGATATATCCCTTTTCTCATTTAATCTGACTTAGTCGCCCTACACCTTACCCTACTCTCATTCCCTCTTCAATGTCTGTTGGTGCCACTTGGTCACTTAGATCCACAACAAATTTGGCAAACTGCTTGACATTTATGATGTACTTGGCATCATCGGAATCTGCATTGATGATCTTCGTACATCTGGCGACCTAATTAATGTGTAATCCAAGTGTCACTCAATAAGTACATAGAATGGTGAGGGTGTAGACCATTATCATCCCGATGCTGTTAAATGAGATCAATACTACCTAACAACAATAATTAAAAATACAATGACAATGGAAAAACCGATCACTATCAAAAAATCAAATCTATAATTAAAATCAAATCGATCACTGTGTCACTGAAGTGCAGATGCAGTCACATCAGAGCTTACTTGTAAAGGCTGCTCACTCTGAAGTGTCTGTTTGTCTGCAGCTAAATCCCACAAGGCTGGAGGTGCCAGCCCTGTGTCAGACTCCTTTATACCTGTAAATTGTAATGACATGATGCATACGGGTCCCGGGCATTGACATACATCATTGGCACTTGATCACATTGATCAATCTGCATTGACTTCACAACAAAACCTATAATGCCCTTGAATCATACATGTTTATAGTTGTGTGTTCATGCAACTATTAGATGTTTTTGTAGTATAGATTGTATATGACATGCTTTGATTTCAAAGTCCCGTAGCAGAATGATAAAATTAAATACATGAACATTTGAGCACGTACGGCTAAATAATTGATTCTCATCCAATTGCTTGTTGTTCCTAGTCTAGTTTTAACTTGCACTATGAACACATTTCATTATTACCCCAACAATCACTTGATGCAGTATATAGTATGCACAGATGCATGTGGAGTAGGTCAGTATCAATCTCACCTGTTAGTTCATTTACGCGTTTAGCAATGCTTGCCATGTCATCTTCAACTTGTTTAATAGATGCACTGTACTGGCCAGCACCCTGTAAATTGGATATTAAATTACATATAACAGTGCCATTCTTAGTTGCATGAAGTACAATTGTACAAGTGCTGTGTTGTGATTGGCTTATGAAGAAATTCGCTTCAATCCAATGCCATGATATAGTAGGGATTTTGGAACAAAACAGTACAGTAAAGTGGAGCGCTATGTGGTGACGAAGCGATTTGTGAACAAGTGTTTTCGAAATAGTGGATCAAGGGCCGAGGCGTATCGCTATAGAAACTACCTAAGGCGTGTTGCATCAGAAGCTAACCTCAGAAAAAAATTATGCAAAAGCTAATAGAAGAGAGTGACTGATTACACATAAATGCCATCCGGGAAAGGGTTGTTAACTTACGTAAGTCTTCAGTAGAGCTATGTCGCCTTCATCCAGAGCTGAAATAAATGTAAACTGGATAGAACAAGGTCAAAACGGAAAGTTAAAAATCCATGGCTGCCAAACCAGATATTGTTCTGGTAGCTCACAGATAGTAGCAAAATTATCACTTGCATGCACACCATCTATCGTTCTGAATCTTATGACCATATCTCTAAAACCATAAAACATGTGTATGTGTGTAGTATGTGCATGCATGGATCCATGTGTATATGAAGGTAATAGAATAATATATTCTAGCTAGAAGCAATTTTAGCTAGAATATACAACGATGTATAACTATTCAAAGGATCAAACTCACCTGTGCCCATCAAATTACTTTTAGAAAATGCTAATTTTTAAATGAATAATTTTCCAACAAGAAGCAAGCAATAAGAATAGTTAGCAAGTGATTTTGAGCACGAGAAAAAATAATAGAGAGCTAGAGATTGAACCCTTACGTTTTGCATCATTGCAAAAAATTATTTGATAAAAGGGAAATCCAGCTGCATGTCATTAGGCGCAGATATATCGCCACCTATTGGTCGACTTAAATTTTATTGCTGACACTGGAGGTGGGATGATATAAGTAGCTCATGATACGATTATCATCACGTTACAGACTTTACGATATGATACGCCTCATATCATATATCATATCAGACACACACGCACGCCACACACATATATATCATATCAATAATATGATATGCACGATATAATATGTCATGTGAACGCTTATAAATAAGCACTGTGGGGTGCTTAGTAAACAATTACTACACAAATGCGAATTGTGTTGTTTTTATGATGAATCCACACTACTGCATGATAGGGATTTTATGCAGTAGAGTATCGATACGCATATCGTAAACAGGGGTAGAAATTAACTTATGAACACGGGAGTCCAACGGACTCCCTACCGGCAAAAATAGGGAGTTCTGAAAAAATTCAGTCTGAGGTTCAAAACTGCGGTTGCACGTCTGCCAAATTTTCTTTGGACATTAGCTGAAAAAATATACAGTAATTTTGCGAGGCCGTGCTCCGGAACGAACTAGTTAGTACATGGCAGAATTTTCAGGGAGTCGCACGGACTCCTGCATATGTCAAATCAGGGAATCCGACAGTAAATCAGGTAGTATTTTACTATGGACTCCCGTTAATTTCGCACCCTGCGTGAAGGTTTGTAACATGATACATCGATATATATATATGAATCCCATACCTATTACCCTAACTGTCATGTCAGCTAATTACTCATTGTATTCGAAATATGTATGCGCTACACTCGTCTACTAAAGATGACGTATATTTCAATAAGACATTTCACCAGCAGAGCAATTATACTACGAATGCTGATAGTGATAGCGTCTTTTAGTGATACGGATAGACAATCACTAATCATGCTGGGTACATGCGTCTAAACAGAGGAATTGCTCCGACCTGTGATGGGAGGATAAAAATAGAATTTGTGACGTTTCGTTTTCATTTTGCATACCCCGTCGTCGCTATTACGCTATGACCGGTAGGAAAGTGTACTAACCATAATATGGCGCGTACGATTTGATCGAGTTGCATTTCTATAAATTCTAGCTATCATAGACACATATCTTAGCTATGATCCGTGTGAGTCTTGAATTTATTGAAGCTCGATTAGCTTAATAAGGTAGCAAATATGTACGTGCAGTATCGCTCATAGGCTAAATGCCAAAATGAAAACGCAACGTCACGAATTCTATTTTTATCCTCCAATCACAGGTCGGAGTAGCTCTAGTACTATAGCCCGCGTACAGTTGCCGCAGGGCTATAGAACATTCTACTACGAATGCTCGGGACCAACTTATTCACGGTTACTCGCGGCTATAAAACGTCTGTGGTAGGCAATTAATACCTCTTATCCGAAGTGAATATGTTTTAAGTTATATCAGCTACTAAAGTTTAACCTCTAACTATCGTTGAAATGGTCTACTTGCAGTATTTCTTGTGAACGAACAGTATTTACAAACTTCAAACGGCCATTTTTTGTGGGGCTGCAGCAGCGGGAACCATGTATTTCCGCACGTGGAGGGGTGGGTGGGTTGTGTTGGTTGTGGACAAAAACATTGTTGTCGTCAAGTAACAAATTAAGCGATCAAAAAAGATTGTAATATTAGTTTTGTCATGAAAGATGAACAAATTACTATTCTTAATTTGTTACTTGACAACAACAATGTTGTTGCCCACAACCAACACAACCCGCCCACCCCTCCAAGTGCAGAAATACATTGTTCCCACTGACTGGCTGGAGTAAATTGGTCCCGAGCATTCGTAATAGAATGATCTATAGCCCTGCGGAAACTGTACGCGGGCTATAGTACTAGAGCTAAGGTTGGAGCAATTCCTCTGTTTAGATGCAGAACCAGCAATGGCACCATGTTGAGCTGCAAAACCAGTCTGGTCGGATACCCACTCGACTAAAGTTTTTAAATCTAATAATACTAATACGTAATACTAATAAGCCTAGTAGTAGCAGGAGCTAATAATGACAAAGGAGTAAGACACCGATTTGGTACTGATTTCACTACATTTTTGTCGTACGAGTTCGATGTGAATAAAAATACAAATGTATACAAACATGGGCTTCTTTTGTTCACTACTCCTTATTCTATCTTCCGGTAGTATTACAAACCGCTTAGCTTCCTTCGTTTTGACATAATTCGTACTTTTGCACGACATGGTTTTCATGTTAGTTACCATATTCTGGCGAGGCCAAGCGCCAAATTCGCACACACAGCTACTTGAAGGAGGCGAGCCAGGGCTTTTCGGCCGTAGCCTAGTCGAGTGCAGAAAATGCGCCTAGAAATTAAGTTATGTTGCACCCATGCTGGGTTTAAAAATTAAAACTACTTTACATTTAAACTATAGTTAGAATGCCTTGTTTTTATGGTTGAATCCTGCAGTCTTTTTAAATAAACGCTGCGCTGGTAAAATATCTGAACTACTTCACCCGCGGAGGAATGATGTGTATGAATCGTTATGAGTAAACTGACGCTCCAGCCGATTGTAGCTTTTCGCACGTGTTTTGCATAGCAACCGTTAGCTCTAGTAACTATAGCCCGCGTACAGTTGCCGCTGCCGTGCCTGAGGCGATCCCTGCCGTGCCTCCTTCAAGTAGCTGTGTCAGCCGGAGTGTGTGAATTTAGCGCTTGGCATCGCCGCAGTGCGGTAACTAACGTCAAAACCATGTCGTGCAAAAGTACGATTTATGTCAAAACTAAGGAAGCTACGCGGTTTGTAATACCGCCAAAAGAAGCTAATGTTTGTATACATTTGAATTTTTATTCACATCAAACTCGTACGACAAAAAAGTGGTGAAATCAGTACCAAAGAGGTGTCTTACTCCTTTGTCATTATTAGCTCCTGTCGTCCTGATAATACTAATAGTAATAGTAATAGAAACAGTGAATCGTAAAGATAGCCGATTCACAGCTTAATGTGTCATTAAATACATTATGATCGAGTCATGACACAGCAACTCAGTCTAATACTTATA